GTTCAGAAACAGTTTCAATTACATTGTGTGGTTTAGTAGAAATGCTATTTTAAATTTAGGACCATTTCAAATAATTCTCTAATAAGAATTTTTGTGCCATTCCCTGGATTAAAAACTATCAGTTTCTAAGTACAATATGTTCTGATTAGTGTAAAATGTTTTTTAAAATTTAGGACCATGCGATTGTTCTCTAATAAGAATTCCTTGACCAATTCCTGGTTCAGAAACAGTTTCAAGTACATATGCGTGGTTTAGTAGAAATGTTATTTTAAAATTTAGGACCATTTCAAATATTTCTCTAATAAGAATTTTTGTAGCCATTTCCTGGTTCAAAAACTATCAGTTTCTAGGAACATATGTTTTGATTAGTATAAAATGTTATTTTGAAATTTAGGACCATGCCAATTGTTCCTCTAATAAGAATTTCTGTGACTAATTCCTGGTTCAGAAACAGTTTCAAGTTACATATGTGTGGTTTAGTAGATATGTTATTTTAAAATTTAGGTCCATTTCAAATATTTTTCTAATAAGAATTTTTGTAGCCATTTCCTGGATTAAAAACTATCAGTTTCTAGGTACTTATGTTCTGATTAGTGTAAAATGTTATTTTAAAATTTAGGACCATGCGAATTGTTCCTCTAATAAGAATTCCTGTGACCAATTCCTGGTTCAGAAACAGTTTCAAGTTACATATGCGTGGTTTAGTAGAAATGTTATTTTAAAATTTAGGTCCATTTCAAATATTTTTCTAATAAGAATTTTTGTAGCCATTTCCTGGTTCAAAAACTATCAGTTTCTAGGAACATGTGTTTTGATTAGTATAAAATGTTATTTTAAAATTTAGGACCATGCCAATTGTTCCTCTAATAAGAATTTCTGTGACCAATTCCTGGTTCAGAAACAGTTTCAAGTTACATATGCGTGGTTTAGTAGAAATGTTATTTTAAAATTTAGGTCCATTTCAAATATTTTTCTAATAAGAATTTTTGTAGCCATTTCCTGGATTAAAAACTATCAGTTTCTAGGTACTTATGTTCTGATTAGTGTAAAATGTTATTTTAAAATTTAGGACCATGCGAATTGTTCCTCTAATAAGAATTCCTGTGACCAATTCCTGGTTCAGAAACAGTTTCAAGTTACATATGCGTGGTTTAGTAGAAATGTTATTTTAAAATTTAGGTCCATTTCAAATATTTTTCTAATAAGAATCTTTGTAGCCATTTCCTGGTTTAAAACTATCAGTTTCTAGGTACTTATGTTCTGATTAGTGTAAATGTTATTTTAAAATTTAGGACCATGCGAATTGTTCCTCTAATAAGAATTCCTGTGACCAATTCCTGGTTCAGAAACAGTTTCAAGTTACATATGCGTGGTTTAGTAGAAATGTTATTTTAAAATTTAGGTCCATTTCAAATATTTTTCTAATAAGAATCTTTGTAGCCATTTCCTGGTTTAAAAACTATCAGTTTCTAGGTACTTATGTTCTGATTAGTGTAAAATGTTATTTTAAAATTTAGGACCATGCGAATTGTTCCTCTAATAAGAATTCCTGTGACCAATTCCTGGTTCAGAAACAGTTTCAAGGTACATATACGTGGTTTAGTAGAAATGTTATTTTAAAATTTAGGACCATTTCAAATATTTTTCTAATAAGAATTTTTGTATTCATTTCCTAGATTAAAAACTATCAGTTCCTAGGTACTTATGTTCTGATTAGTGTAAAATGTTATTTTAAATTTAGGACCATGCGAATTGTTCCTCTAATAAGAATTCCTGTGACCAATTCCTGGTTCAGAAACAGTTTCAAGGTACATATACGTGGTTTAGTAGAAATGTTATTTTAAAATTTAGGACCATTTCAAATATTTTTCTAATAAGAATTTTTGTATTCATTTCCTAGATTAAAAACTATCAGTTTCTAGATACATATATGTTCTGATTAGTGTAAAATGTTATTTTAAAATTTAGGACCATGCTAATTGTTTCTCTAATAAGAATTTCAGTGACCAATTCCTGGTTCAGAAACAGTTTCAAGGTATATATATATATGTTGTTTAGTAGAAATGCTATTTTAAAATGTAGGACCATTTCAAATATTTCTCTAATAAGAATTTTTGTACCCATTTCCTGGTTCAAAAACTATCAGTTTCTAGGTACAATATGTTCTGATTAGTGCAAAATGTTATTTTAAAATTTAGGACCATGCCAATTGTTTCTTGAATAAGAATTTTTGTAGCCAATTCCTGGTTCAAAAACAGTTTCTAGCTACATATATGTTATGCTTAGTAGAAAATGTTATTCTAAAATTTAGGACCATTTCTATTGTTTCTTCATTTAGAATTTCTGTGAACAATTCCTGGTTCAAAAACTATCTGTTTTTAGGTACATATATGTTATGTTTAGTAGAAAATGTTATTTTCTGAAAAGAAATTATTCTTAGTCCATTTTCATGCTAAAGTTATTAGTACAACTTTGGTATATCTGAAAATGTTACATATAAAAATTATAAGAACAAAGCAGAAAAAAAGAATTAAATTAAATATACATATTATATTATCATAATGTTATAAATAATTATAAAATCTTATAAAGGGTAGATATAAATATTTCTAAATCATAATATAACTAGAAGTAAAATCTATTTCAATTTGATCATACACATCAGATCGTTAATACAATAATTTTCATGACAAATAGAGCCACATATCAAATAATGTTATCAAATATGTGCTAAAGAATTGAATTGTAAAATTATTCATTAAATGTTAATATAACATTTTACATTCTTTTTTGGGGTAATAGAATCACTCTTATAATAATCAAGTCGACGGCCATTCTGGAATAAATGAGCCGTTATTGAGGTCATTTTAACTTCACTACTCCGAATTTATTTACATATAAATATGTTTAGTATAATTTTAAAACAATTTCTACAAAATATACTAAACATGATTACAATATACTCTATTGAAAATCGTCTCCGATTAAGATATTTTCTATTTTATTCATTTATTGTGCTATTTACTCTATAGTTATTTGAGCGAAATTTAAATATTTAAATTTCATTAATAGTCAATAATTCAGACTAGTTCAATATGGATCATCAATCCACAAAGGTAAATGGTTTGATTTTCTTGCTCTGAGATAAAATATTAGTAATTTAATTACAGTCTCATCAAAATTTGGTGGAATGTATTAATCAATGTTTGCTTGGTTTATTGGAAAATATGTATAGATCAATGCTTTATTATACTTAAATAGATATTGTGTAAATGCAAAGTCTTTCAACAAAACAAAGTTCAATTATATATACACTCATATAAAGTCTAATTGTAAGTATAAAAAATTAGGCTACATGTTTAGTTTATTCAATTCTAACATTATCCTTCAATAAATCTGATTCAAATAAGATTCATAATAAAATCTTAATGTAGGACTCCTTAGAATAATAATTTTAAAAAACCTTCTATAATATTTTTAAAATTTTTTTACAAATAACTCCCGTAAATTGGTACACATGTATTTCAGAGAACATTCTTTTGCATAGCAGTGTAAGTATTAAATTAAGAACGGCACTGATATAAAAGTTACACTGTTCACAGTCATATTCATTTTTTTTATCTAGTATCATTTATTTGATGTTCATTATTGTAATATATTATAATAGATATTTTGATGTATGAGAACAAACAATTAAGTCAAATAAATATTATGTGAGCGATACTATCCAAAGAGAAGCACCTTACATAATTTGATATTCTTTGTTGATGTTATATGACAATTTTTACATTTATTATATTAGATACCATTTAATATTTTTGTACTGTTATAAATTTACAAAATTACAAAACGTAGCCAAAGGCTAGGCAGTTATAATTATTGATTAGGATAATACTGTTATCTTCGATGAGTATAGACTGCAACATGACTGATGTTATTTCAATTGCATTATTTCTAAAGAAACCTTATAAAGCCCTTGTTTTATATTGTTATTCTAATTAAAAAAAAACGTGACAACAATTATATACAAATCAACAGACAATTTAATTACACTATATTTTTTAAACCATTGTCACCACATAAGACTATTCATATTTTTGAATGTGCGTTTTCCAAGTTAGACATGTGCAGGTAAAGATAACAGCATGTTTATGTTATGTACCAAATGATGATAGCAAATGATGTAAATTGTTCCCTGTTTTATTTAGTTTCCAAACTAACCAATTGGTCAGCTTTTTTTTTAAAAAAAAAATGATCACAGAGATTCTTCTAATGTGCAAAAATTTATGACAGAGGTAGAAATAGTTGATTTCTAATTTGCCATAAGTTTCATTTGATTCAAATTTTAATGACTTTGATATATTGTTAAGTGTAAAGCTTGATCATTCAGATGCATATAGTTTACACATTTAAACAAAACACTGAATTTGATGAATTATTAAATATTTATCAGTAAAATTAGCATATGATATTCCCACAGCACAAAAAACATGTTCAGAAACTAAAAATTGTCAATAGAGTACAAAAACTAAAATTCTTTTTCATAAGTGAATACATGCAAACTTATTTGATTAACAATACAGTACAATTTAATATCAATTGCATGCATTAAATGTCTGTAAAATTGCTACACGCAACTGCAAGCTAAATAATAACTAAAAAATAGTGATAATCATATGATGAATAAAATCAAATTATTTAATATGTGAATAATATTAGTGTACCATTTACATGAACATTTATTCGAAATATATCCGGGTAATATATTTCTTATATAAATTATGATGCTAAAATAGCACTAAATTTTCACATTTATTTCTCTGCAAATAGTACATCTTGCAGAATCAATCCTTTTTAATTAGACGCTTATTATTTCAATAATTTATCAATTAAAAATATATTACTTTTAGAAACAATATATCACCAGATAATAAGATGCATCAATTCTGTGAGTATGGAGAATAAAAAGCAATATATAATTAAATAATGATTCTAATTCTAATTGCTTACAGAATTGTGTAGCTCAACAATTTTCATATAAATAAAAATCCTTCCAAGCATGTGTTTTCTATGAGAAAATATAAAAAAGGCATTTTTCATCTAAATGTTCTAACTTTGATACTAGTAAATATATCAACCAAAATAAACTGTTCATGTTTTGTTATAGATATTGACTAAAACTCCATTTTAAAAATAGTACAGAGAACGATTTAATTATATCAGATCATTGTTTTATTAATAAAACTTCTCATATATTATCTGCTCGATCAAAATGAAAAATGAGATAGTCGCCTGCGGACAAAATTCGCTTACAATTCTGTGACTGCATACAATTCGCTGTTCTGGTTTTGACCAGTACGTTGCATCGTCCTATAGTGCAAATGCGGATCTACCGGTGGAGCGGTTGGCGCTATAGGCACTTTTGCTGGTCGTTGAAGGGACCTATACGCCGCAAAGTTCTTGGCATTTAACGGCTGATTCTGATCCGAGGTTGTGACCGCGTTGGATGCTTTTGGCGGAGCCTCTTGCGGAATATCGGGTAGCGGTTGACTCAAAATAGATATAGACTGCTGCGGCCGTCTGCCCAACGAGTTGAATTTATCAGTCGGCGTTGTTCGAGCGCCGAAACGTGTGCCGTGTCGCAAGGTCGCACAGTTGTTTTGCACGGATGGACAGCGGACTGCTTTGGGACCGAAACTTGCATACTTCGGATCAAAACGGTTGATGCCCCCTTCAGTGGTAGTCACATCCCGCGGATCCCTGGGTAAGAAAACGATAAAAACTCAGGTAAAAATTGGCATTTCAATATATTTTATACTGATAATGATCTTTGTAGGGCTTTCAAAACCGTATTAAAATCTGAATACCGGTATTCGATATTTGAAATTTTAATCACGGGATCCCGGTATTAATAGCGGTATTATCAATGAAAATTTTACTAGTCATATTTTTAGTTACTGCAGTTGTTTTATTGACATATTAACATTATTATTGTTTTAAAATGAGTACATATTAATTATTTTATCACATAGATAATAAGAGTAGATAGATACAAGAAAAAACTTGCAAGTAAACAATTATATATTAACTTCTATGTTACACTTTACATATAATAGGCTCGAATGGAATTATATATTTAATAACTTATATTTTGTTTATTAAAATATGCTTCTAAAAATTATAAACAATCAATTGCTCAATCTTCAAGCGAGGGCCGAATTTTAGTACAAATATAACACGCCGAAAAAGTCTTTCCTCATGCTACACTTGTCGGCACAATTGTCATAAAGAAATAATACGAGTACATGATTAGTCGATATGAATTAGTACTTAGTATAGGGTATTTAGTTTATAAACAAATCATAAATAGATATCAGCACTTCACAAAGGCTTATAGAAAATTATTGTATTTACTGATTGCCTAATAAATAAATAAAATTATTCTATATGAACGATTTCTAAGAATCTGCAACGAGACCAATATTATCATTGATTATCAAACAATTTATCACTCAATGATTTGACTTGTAAATTTTTATAAGTTATAAAAAATAATGAATACGATAATACGAATGATTGAAAGGAAGATATACAATATAGAGTATTATAACGTGTCGACTGTATATTTTGTTTAAAATATCATTGATAACGAATTAGATATGAAGACAATGCACGTGGACGACTAATACTTTGTATAAATGGGTTCCATTCATTAGATCGTATATAATATATAAACAATCGCTTTATCTTGCCGGCATCGACAAGATGTGTCATACTGGACTGAGCCGAGTCGGCAATACACAAATAAAATGTAAAACTCGTGTATGTGTATTGTGTAAGTTAAATTTTTAACAAAATTTTCGTAATCCCGAAATACCGGTATTTTTAGTATCAATACCGGTATTGAATACCGGACAAAAATCGTCCGGGATCCCGGTATTCGGGATCACGGAATCCCGGTATTGTAAGCCATAGATCTTTGTCTTTTGGACTTAATATCATTGTGTACGAAATATACATAAAATAGAACTCTCATATTGAGAAAGCTATGACAATTTAGTTGGCAAACGTGAACAATTCGTAATTTTATATTACATTCTGGATTATTGAAGCTTCCAATTGAAAAAATTCAATAGAGACAAAAAATCAAATTGTTACAATTGGTACCTTGGGGGCGAGGCACCGCAGGCGACTGAATCTCAGTAGAAATCAGATGATTCGAGAGTCTTGCATTGCTTGCTCAAAGTCGCGTACTTCCCATTGTTGGGTCCTCCCGCTCCGCTTCCGAAATGCGACGGCGGTGAGTGTCCATGAGACGGCAGCCGTCCGAGCGTATGCGATCCATGCGAAGCGTGTGTTCGGTGCCCGATATGACCGAGATGACCGGCTCCGTCGACCCTATGACTGTTTCGTGACAGGGATCTGTCATGTCTGTTGGGGACATTTAAATAGTTACAGGAAATATATATTTCAAACAAAAACTAATATCCGATTCAACTACGTTTAATTAGTGTCATGAGCAAGAGTTTTCCAATGATTTTGAAGATATTTTTGTGCTTGCCGCATCGAGAAACTTGCGTCATTCATTTGTATTCGAAACATGTACCTATTCTGACAGATATTGATCCAAGTTTAGGATATTTTAAATTTTGTTGAATAATTTAATAAACATCGATAGAGCAGCACATATAAAAATTATGTAATTAATTTTGGAATGTTTTGCTACATGCGCTTGTGAATAATTGTGTGAAAATACTTTTTAATATAAAAATCTTTTTCAACATTATGAACTAGAATTTCTGAACATGAGTATGTAATGTAATATTCAATTAGTTAAGAAAATGTTTATTAAAAAATAAAAATATAATCAACACCTATTGTTTTTGTAGCTTGTTAAAGCAACAATCAATGTGATCGAACAGATATAAAATAAAATGCGATTTCTAATCAGTTTGAATCAGAAGTTTTGCAAATGTAATTAAGTATTTGCTATGATTGTTAACAATTGAATATAAGCGGTTGTAATATAAGCTGATTTTGTTTTATGTACAAAATTTGTTGATAAATTTATAATTATAATATATATATATATATATATATATATATATATATATATATATATATATATATGTTTAATTTAAGTTTAATAATCGGGCGTAACATCAATAAAAATAGTATGAGTTTTTTTAAAAAATTTATTTATTTAAAATCCATACGTTTCGGCTAGCATCTTAGCCATCATTCAGTGGTAATCAAGTTAAAATTTTGTATCCTAATATAGCATATGATTATTAGGATACAAAATTTTAACTTGATTACCACTGAATGATGGCTAAGATGCTAGCCGAAACGTATGGATTTTAAATAAATAAATTTTTTAAAAAAACTCATACTATTTTTATTGATGTTACGCCCGATTATTAAACTCAAATTAAACATATATATCAACATCAAATTCAAGACTATTCAAAAATATATATATATATATATACAAGATTGAACATTCTATTTACATTTCTCCATGCATTGCATGTTAATTATAATATATATATATATATATATATATATATATATGTATGTATGTATGTATTTATTTATTATGTGTTGTACGTATGTATTTGTATAAAAATATGTACAAAACGATTAAAGGAACAACAGCTCATAGGCATCTCACTAATGCATAGCTTTGCAATCAATTTGTGGCAAAACCTCAATTATTCAAGGGCTTATTTTATTTACATGAAATATCTATTTAAGATCCATTACCAATAGTGAGTAAACAGTTTTATGAAACAAATATTGAAAACAGCAATTTTGAAAAGCAACTAAACTGCAGGCAATCTAAACATTCATCAATAGACCTAATGAACCAATAAATTCTTTGTAAATATCAATCTGTTCAGCAAAATTTTAAAACCATATGTTTTTCATGTTATCGAAAGAAGAATATTATTACAAAAAATGCACTTTCATAGAGACTTTTAGTTTGAATTCTTTGCGAACAGATTAATAAATTACATTTCTATTCACATATCACAAGCTATATATACTTATCAAAACCAGTCAGATATGTAAAAGAAAAAAAAATAGAAATAGAAACTAATTAAAATTTAAAACAAAATTAATTTAAAAAAAAATTAAATAGCGGTTTGTGATTCATGTACTTATCAATAAAATTTAATTTTTCTGTGATTATAATATATTCATTTGTAATTATCAATAATTTAAAGCATCCTGTGTCACTACAAACTTTTTTAGGAGTTTTTAAATTAAAATTTATGATTATAAGTTTTATAATAGGTTTTGTAATTTATTGATTATAAGTTTTGTAATAGTAATTATATAATATTTGTTAAACTTGAATGTGACTGCTTTAATGTCTAGCAACCCCAACGAATTATGTCAAATACCGTCATATACATCTCCAGAGGAATATAAATGAATCAAAGAATGCAATTTATAACTAATTCGAAAATACATAAGGTACTAAATCGCGATTTTGAATAATATTTAAGCAACCTTCACATAAATAAAAATACTCTCACTTGTTCGCTATTTGATATAAAGAAAGAGCCTTTAGGTTAGTATCCTTTTATCATTTCTGAAAATAGAAACTACTATCTTCACTACTACATAGAACGTAATGTAAAATTATATAGTGAATAGTATATCTTTTTCTTATTTTCGTAAAAAACGCATGTACCTCTCATAAATTATTTGCAGGTTAGGTAGATTTCAAAGAATAATAATAAATAAAAGTAGAAAAAATCAAAATTCAGAAAAGAATAGCATGCCTGAACGATGACGAAGAGTCTTGTGACATGTCGTGCTTGTCAAAAGCATGCGTGCCGTAAGCAGGCGGCGGCGTGCAAGGTGGTGCTACAGGTTGATGCATTGGCGTGCAGGGTGGACGAGGTAACGACCCTGCTTGCTGTTGATGCTGATTGCTTCGCTGCAGCGTACGCGCCGCCACTGCTTGGCTTGCCTGCTGCGGGGGTAGGAACGGATCCGCTTCATCAACAGTGGTGTAATCTCTTCTGCAGATAAAATTACCATAATTATTGAATTCGGTGCTGTAGGTTATTATTACTTAAGGCAAATTACAATTTGTCATACACATGAAAATATTAAGAAACCTTATGAATAGTAACGGAAAAATACTTATGGAACTTGAAACTTTAATTTTATGTTTTGAAAAGATGCAAAAAATCATTTTGGTTTTCTGTTTTGTCAGCAAAATAACAATATTTTTAAATTCAGCTACAACTTTTAGAATAATATGATCATATTTTATAAGTTTTACTTATTGAGAATTATTGAGAGAATTATCGAAAAAACTAATATGTTAATCAGTACGAAAAAACTAATAAATGAAATCGCTAGCAACTCACTTTTTTCTGATATAAATCCACGTGTGCGAATCGACCCAAACCATAACCGTAAGCAAAAATGCAGCCAGAAGTCCAGCAGCTAGCATAAGTGCGAGTCCCATAAGTCCACCATCGCACAATGAACGCGAAGCAGTCAAAAAATGCCCATGCACTGCTCTGCAGTCCAGGAGAGCAGTCAACCCGGTCAAAAGGCGTTCGCATGAGTTGAGATCAGTTGTAAGTGCGGCAAGACGAGGTTTTAAACCCGAGGTTTGAAATAATTCTAAAGATATCCTGAAAAAATACACATTATAATAGAGAAGAATATACATTTAAGTCACGCCAAACTACAATCTAATTTAAATAATTAACCCTTACTACAAATTTAAGTAAACATTAAATACTGATATTCATATATATATATATATATATATATATATATATATATATATATTCTATAAGTTAACATACTTAGACACAATTGTCAAGCTGCTTCGAGCAGCAGCAACAGCTTTCTGAGATTCCCTCAAACGTTGAGTAAATGGATTAGCCCTGGCGCTCTCGCACTGGGTGTAATAAAGCAATACCTATATAAAAACAAAATTAAAACAATTAAACAATTTGTTTATATATAATAAAAAATTCTCGCACATCTTTTCTGAAAAGCAAAACATTTATTTAATTTAAACCATCATTTACCTCCGGTGGCAAGTATGGCGGTGCTTGGCTAGCTAGATATGCAGCAGGATCCATGCAGAGGTCGGCCAATGCTACGGAGCTAGACAAATATAGGCCTGATAACAACCAACTTGCAGTGACAGCCAAGAGACCGCTGACACTGAAGGTGATTAAAGCGCAACGTGAATGTCTAGCAACCCCAACCAGTAGTATGGCACAGAGAGATAACAGTACGGCGAGTGCAGCTAAGGTGGTCGGCCAACGAATTGACTCCCAATATTCGAAATCCTGAAAAGTCAAATGATAATAGTATCTCCACAAAAATGTGTTCAAAGGATTCAACAGAAAATTGGAATCGGGATGTGACGCTACGTATATTATATAGGCGGCAACTAAATCTATTAAAAAATAATAATGAAGTAAACACCTACATTCAGAGTGGCGGCGAGTGAAATGCCACCGAGCGGTCGTCTCATGTCTCCCGCCGCACCGGCTGCGACTGAAGTATTGCCCTGCACAATTCTTAGCGCTGCCTGTAGCGCAGCCCCTGCTGATATATCACGCACAGGGCCATCGAAGATGTCCTCTAACTCTAAGAGTTGAGGACGGACGCGACTCGTCAGTGTCGATTCCAATTGAGATGTCTAGAAAGATGCAGAAATTAAGGTACGGTTTAATATCAACATCATATATTTATGCTTAATGTCAATGATAATGTTCATTATCGTGATGAAATTCGTTTATTCTTGCAAGTAATTACAATTCCATCATAGGTAAGAAATGTATGAGCACGCTTTAAATATTTTACAAGTACTACAATATCTGTGACATGCAAGGAAAGCTCACCTGATTCCACACTGAAGTAACTAAGGCATCGACTTGCCTTCCAGACGAAAGTACTTGCAGCAATGCGTTGTGTAAGTCATCGTTTCCATAAAGACCTTTTTTAAACATAAATGTCTTTATTAATCAACAATCATTGATAAATCAAATATATAACATTCTTTTAATCCTTATTACTTCGTCTCGGACTATTTTAGTTTATTAATTAAGTCTCTTTACCTAATCCTATGGCGCCGCAACAGAGCACTGTAATGAGGCTTAAAACAACTTTTAAACACGTTATAGATTTGGCAGGCCGAGGTTTTCTGTCGCAGCACCTCGTAAGCAGGTACAGCAAAAGCCCCAAAAGACATAAAATCAATAGCGACGCGGGCACGGACGCTAATATGCCCAAACTCTGCAATTAAAATTAAATCATTATAAAATAATCAAAGCAACTCACTAAGCCAACAAAACTATGATTTCAACGGATACCGTATAATGAAAACACGCGCAAAACATATTCATTTCTTAAAGATAATCAGTTTCATTTTATGGTTTACTAGATGCAGGTATATTGCAAATATGAACATATATCACAGCACTTTGGCCAATCGAATACAAATAGTTATAAAAATAATGATTTGACAAATAATGTGATAAGTGAATAAAATTTTTGGTGTTTTTATCAGATTTTATTTATTTAATAACAAAAAATTTATAATAATAACTATCATATTTAGAGAAAATGTCAAGAAGTGTATCATTTTATCATTCTTTACATTTCTTCCTATTTTTTTTTATTATTATTAGATCCACTAATGATCCAGACGTCGCAACGTTTGACATAATAAAGTTCAAATTAACAGTAAAGCATAACGTTCAGAATCAATATATTATTTTATGATAGTTAAGTTGAACAATGCAAGTATTTTAGCGCAACTTACTTCGAGGTAAACGTCACTCGTAGGATCGAACGTGTCATTGACGCGATGTAGTGTGATATTGAGATGAGGCAATCTATGGAGCAACCTCGCGAGCCGTGGAGGTTCGAACTGGTCGTCCAAAGGAGAAGGACTGAGCCCCATTTCGCCGACCCGCTACGCCTGCTTTCAGAGCTACACGGATAAAATATCCGGTCAAGCCGTGACTGATTCCTTTGCCAGTTAGACCCGGTGTGATATAAGTTTAGCGCTAGTTAAAAGCGCAAATTATTTGACGCTGAGACGCCGCACATAGCGTCTTCCACATTATGACCATTTATTCTGAAAATTAAACAAAATACATGATGTCTATGTAACTTAATAATTACATACAAAATACCCAGACTATTTCCAAAACATGCTCAGATCATTAGTTTTGCACTTTGAAATGGCAACCTTTATATTACAATATACAGAAATTTGAAATAATGACACACTAATTTACTTAAAATGGCCAATAATGCAGTGTACTTCAAAGTTTATATTCAATTCGGTAAGTCATTTATCAAATATGTACTTTAGTCCAGTCATTTGGTGCAAAAAAGGCTGTTGCCGGTACAGTACTCCGGGAATTCTGAAAATTGGTAATCTCATAGATTTCGAGGTGCTCTTTACGGAAATCAACTTTGCCACCTCAAATTTGAACGGCAAGTTGCCGCCATATTAAAAAAATGGCGTCAAAAAACAGCTTTTTTAAAATATCTACTTTCTGGCTCAATCTACGATAAAAGTATCTATGTACGAATTAAACTAGAGAAAATTTCCTACAATTCCTTAGAAAACCAATTTAATATTGGAAATATTAATTATTAGAAAGAATGTGGTCAAGTACGAAGTGCTGTCATATATGGACAGATTTGATACTACGGCGAGAGCAGCAAAGACTTTGAGGCGGCCGTACTCTCAAACTATCAATTTTACAAAAAAAACGGTTTTCTAAGGAATTGTAGGAAATTTTCTCTAGTTTAATTCGTACATAGATACTTTTATCGTAGATTGAGCCAGGAAGTAGATATTTTAAAAAAGCTGTTTTTTGACGCCATTTTTTTAATATGGCGGCAACTTGCCGTTCAAATTTGAGGTGGCAAAGTTGATTTCCGTAAAGAGCACCTCGAAATCTATGAGATTACCAATTTTCAGAATTCCCGGAGTACTGTACCGGCAAGACGACCAAATGACTGGACTATTTTAGAGTTTCAAAGAACAATATTCAGTGACTGCGATGTAACGTTAGAAAGCAAATAAATACTTCAAAAACTGTATTTGAAATAATATCGAAAGTAAGAAAAGCACTATATATATAGAGAAGAGATTGATACATTTTAATATATACAGAGCAAAGAATTTTATAAAACATAAAATACTATTAATTCGAATCTTTTTTAAAAAATATTTTGACCTAATTTAACAGAAAGAAGACTCGGTAATTTATTTAATGAGGTCTATAAGACGGTTCGTTTTATAACAGCGTGATCTAAATATTATTTCTCAATAGGCATGTTATAACAAGGAAATAACTATTTCAATTGGTGATTACTTAAATGATTTGACAAATAAGTAAGAGTTATGATTTCTTAACGCACATGAAATATTTGATTTTAATTCATGCAGACAATAACTAATCAAACAATACAAATTTGAACAATGTTCGTCTTAGAGACCACTTTAAGAAAAAATGAAAGCAATTCAAAGCTTTGTCTTTGCAGTTCCAAACATTGGCAGAAGTTCTGCACAATGTCAGAATTGAAGTTTATTACGCTTTTAAAATCTTGTCGCTCTCAATTAACCTGTCGCAATTATGAACTACTTCGTTTATTTAAGTTTATTTAAGATCTAAAATTGTTACAAAAACCTTAAAAAACGTTAATTAAAACTATGTTAATTTTTAATACTTTTTACGAAGCGAGAGGCGACAAAATGGTAACTCAATAATAGAAAACACTTATTAAAAATTCATTAAAGAGTAAGAATAATTTCTGACATAATAATGACAATTTGTTTTTTTTAGTCGAAGACGACAAAGTAAATGGAAAGTGAAACACCGTACATTATTCGAATAACTTGGTATCAAAAATTCTATAGTATCTACTCTTTGTGATATATCATACATAACAATTGGTCAATTGAATTGAAGTTGAAAAAAGCGGAAGGGAGATATTTGACAACCTAATATTACCTACATTCACTTATACTCATAAAAATTACGTTCATTACAATGGTCGATAGAGCGCAAAAATTAAATAAAATTTATGAATAACCAAATATTGTAAATAAAAAAATGCACATATTCAAATTTTTATATTTTAAAATTTAATATCTATTTTTAAAATCTCTTCGGTAGCTATTAACAGATTTTTATAACTGCTTCTTCGTCCCAGACTATCATCAATGAGCTAAACCGATCGGATAGTTCAGTAAATGTAATTTCCTGCTGGTTTGTTGAACCGTCAAGGGATTGATGGCAACTAGTCCAGACTATCTATATATCCCTAGTCATACAATACAAATTGAAGCCATTTAAATCAATTATAAATATGAATTGTATTTCGTTGTCTTATATATTGCCAGAATTCATATTACATAGTTTCTCAATAATAAAAATATAACAAAAAATTATGAAGAACATATAAAATGATTGAGCATTAAGCGGCTATTAAACATAATAAAATAGGGTGTTTGTTATAAAGTTAAAATTGAAAAATATAGCGACAGTTTCTAGTTTCGCCTGAAACGTACCTTCTATTATCGGTGTTTGTTGTTGATGTACTATACTTACAATTAGTTCATTTTTGTTAGATATTAATAATAAAAGTTATTTAATACAGTAATAGATATTTAATATAATAATGAGATTGTGAAATATTCAGTGTTGCACACAAGCTAAGTGTTTGTAAAGCAAGCGCAAGTCAAAAATATGAAAATTAATTTCCATTGATTATTATAAGTCAAATTACCTAACAGAAATACTAAAAAGACTTTAACAGTGAATAATATACATTTTATTAATTATGTGAAACAAACTGAAAATGTGTCCAAAGATAGTCGCCCATATTTTGCGATATGTTGTGACTCATTTCACTGTAAATATCATCAAAAAGCCGATCATTTGTTTGGATACGTGGGACAAATATATTATCAACCGCAGATATCATAAAGGAACTGTGCATAAGATAAACTCATTTAGAAAAAAGAGGACAAAAAATGCAAAACGTCGGAAAAAGAAGATAAAGTGACCTCTAATATTGTATCGTGATATTATTCAGTTTCATAGCGTAATTGTCTATATTCAAACAAAAAGAAATCAAACATCTATTCCTCTAAATGGAAATCCATTCATTATCTAATATTATTATAAAACTTATATTTTTTTGCCAAATGTTAGATCTAATTCTGAGCAGAGAAATGAACGTAATGCACTTTGGCTTATGCATTATTACTATGCTTATGTTACATGGACATGAGATAAGACCAACGAAACTGCACCAAAAGTTAATTAATTTAGTTAAACTGTCTTTACTAAGAACTAGGGGGATAAATACGAGGGAAAAACAAGCAAAGCAACATCCAAAGACGTTATGCGGGTTATGCAGTCACTTTGCTGTTACTATCCACAGAATATTTTGCTGCACCAAAACGAATTACAAAAGATTAAAAGAATGTCTTTGTAAAAAAAAATCTATAACTTATAAATAACGATTATAACTTATTATTACATAAAATTATTTTTATGCGATAAAATATATTAATATTACGTCGATTTAATTAATAATTTCTTACGAAAAACAGACGTTTTATAATAGCCCGAGTGTACTAAACGAAGAAACTGTCACAACATAGTTATACGTGGGTTATCCTTGAAGAACATCCCAAGTTGATAAATTTTAAGTAAAAGCTATTGATGTTCTTATATGACTTCATTCGGACTATTTATAATAAAACTAAGCAACCATACAAAATATGAATATAAAATCCTCTTATCGCTAAAAAATTCAAACTATATAAACTTTGATTCAAGAAAAAAATGTAATAATTTATTGACAATGTTTTTAGAGTATATTATTAAAAAGAAAAATTACTATGTGAGTAGCGTCATTTAATTCCTTTAACGGATTGGACGCTTTAATTCCATTTAATGGATGTATTAAAATATCCACAAGTAATTCTAAAAAAGTATTACATTACACAATTTATAATTTAGAACAGTATAGAATTAAATGCAAATACGCGGTTTGAAATATGATTATCAATGTATATATTCTAAAATTGTAAACCATTAGAAGCAATGCATAACTAATTTTAATATGAGTAACATTTAAATATAAATATAATTTAATTTAACAACATATAAAACAACACAAGGTATATAAAATATATACCTAATATATTTCAAGTTCGTATTGGAAACTATATACATGTCTCATTTTTTAAATTTATAATAATGTTTTAAATTTTTACAAACTGCACAAAATAAGATGAAACAACTCAATTATAAGAACACATAAATCGCAATAAATGATCTTTTTATGGTTAATAATATAATTTGATATTTACTAAAGTTAGAAAAATTTACAGTTTCCGGAAAGATTATTATCTATCAGGTTCTGACATTTATGCAACTTATCTATATTGAAATAGTTAATTTCCAGATTAACTTAACAACATTTGTGTTGAAAAAGAGAGAATATCTAAATATTAACTACAATGGAGATGAACTATAGAATTACGAATAAAAAGTTGAAATGATAAAAAGCTTAAAGATTCTGAATTAATAAAGATAACAAATGCACAATAAATAAGTAAATAACAATCAATATCAAATAGCAATCTTTCTTTCAATTCTTCTCTCAAATAGTAGCCATTTTTTCATTATAAATCGGAACACACAAGAAAAAGCTTATTGAAAATTTGTTTATCCTGTTGATTATGTATTTATATAGACACGACCTACATAAAATTATTATCATCCACAAATGCAGCCTTGAACGTCACATATTAAGACTATACCACTTTGTCATTACATTGACGTTTTTTTATTATTTGAACAGCGATAACAACTTAAGGGTCCTAAAAGCTATCGTTAAGATTTTATTTAAATAGTTGTACTTTCTCTAAAAGAATTTCTTTCTTTACAATATTTTTTTATTATTGGAGCAATGCTAAGTAAGGGCATTTCCATTTGAAAACATATTGCTGTTTTCACTTCCAAGTAAAAAGCCATCTCACTACAACTCGACAGCAGCAACAAAACATAAAAAAAAATTTATGCCGAAAGGTTGCCGAAA